CCACTTCCCCACCACAACCACCATCAACCATACCACCATCCACCACCGCACCACCATCCCTGGTCCAGAGATGTGTGTCCAGAATGCTATTTCACTAAACAAGTTACAGTACTACTGAACTATATACAAGCTAGTTGAAATGGGGATTACCAGTAATAATAAGTATCACAACTGATGAACGCGGTCACATGATATTACAGTGTAGGTCACTCTTATTAACTCAGAATCAGGGATCCCAGTAGTTTACAAAAAACTGTGACTTGTTACATCAATTGCATATTTGGCCCAACGATTCCAGGGACCCACGGCACATGGGGAAAGAGCGCATTCAAGTTCCCTGAACAGCTAGGCAAAAGTCTCAACAGGGCAAACTAATGAACAAAGAGCTGCTAGTTTTCTGTTCCACATCAGCGACTCGGTGTTGCAGTTCAGATTGGTAATGCCAGCGGGTTGGGGCACACACAAGGGGGAGGGGCCGTGTGTCTGGGGAGGGCGGGGGGGGGGGGGGGGGGGGCATCTCCCCAATATGGTAGGGGGGGGGGGGGGAGGAGGGGGGGGGGGCGTGGGGGGGGGCGCGACACACATAGGGGGGGGGTTGGGGACAACTGATGCATGATAATAATCAACAACCCTAAAATATGCGGAGAAGGGGGGGGTATGGGGGGATGTTGGTGGGGGAGAGAGAGAGGAATCAATATGAGACAACTAACTCCATAGAGTGGGGTGTGATTTGTGGGTTAAGTATCTGACACTAAAAAATTTTAATATAATATATATATATATTAATATATAACTTTTATATATTATATATATATATATTATATATATATTTAATTATATATATATATTTAATATATTTATTTATATATTTATATATATATATATATAGATATATATATATATGATATATATATATTATATATATATATATATATATATATATATAGATATAAAATATAACATAGTCACAGTGGTGAGGCAGTACCAGTGCTGACGTGACTGTCAAACCATGATAGGTGAACAAGGTGTCCCGAGCCATACATCACATCCACGCAGGTATATATACTCGTAGTAGAATGTGTATTTCGGTGTATGGATATCACCGATTGTGAGTGTGTGTGTGTGTACCTCCGAGTATGCACCGAAAGCTAGTGTTGATACACCCAGAAGGGTTTGGGTGTGTACCACCTGTTTGTGTTTCAAAGTGTCGAGTAACAGCTCCTGACCCACCCGCCCATCGCTGGTTCGCTATTAGATCCACTCTGGTCCCAGCCCATGAGCCTTAATCAATCCTCTTCTTAAACCTATGTAATGGATCCAGTACATCACTCTCCAGACAGTTCTAAGTTCTTACAACACTAAGACTGAAGAAATGCTTCCTGGACATCCCTTGTGACTCATTTGAGCTTTCAACTTCCAGGTTGTGTCCCATTGTTGCCTTATTATCCACTCTCTGAAACATTTCTGTCCCTATTCACCTTGTCAATTCTCATAATTGTTTATATGTCCTTTATTTGTTCGTCCCTATCCAACTGTCCTCCCCAGTGTTTAAGTGTGATTACCCAACCTCTCCTCTAGACATAGCCCTTAGCTCCGGACTAGTCCTTGTTGAAGCCTTTGCACTTTCTCTAATTTCATGACGTGCTTAACAGATGTGGGTTCATAACTGTGCGCATACTCTAATATGGGCCAGAACATACATGGTTGTCAGAATATATGTTACGGAGAACTTACTTTATATCAATGTTTTAGTATTAGTTTTTTGACATTGTGGTGCACAGGTGAGCAAACAGCCTTCATGACGCCTTCGATGTATGCATTTGGACGACAGACTTTAATTAAACTTAACCACATCCACCCGCCCACCTACAACCTCAACAACACACGCATACAAGCAACACAATGTTAACTCACACAGATATTAACCCACAAACTCAGTACAAGCAACACAAGTTTAACCATTCACACTCACACAAGTAACACAAATATTAACCAACACAACATTCACCGCATACAAGCAACACAATATTAACCAACTCACTCACACAAGAAACACAATATTAACCAACACACCATACAAGCAAACTACAATATTAACCAACAAACATCACACAAGTAACACATATTAACCAACACTCGCACAAGCAACACATATTAACCAACACACTACACAAAAAGCAACCAATAGTAAACCACAAACTCACCCATGTACACTAAATATTAACCAACACACACAAATCAATCAACACAATATTAACCAACACTCACAACAAGCAACACAATATTACCAACAACTCACACACAGTAACAACAATATTAACCCCACACATCGCACAAGCAGACAGAGGGGGAGGGGGGGGGGGGGGAGGAGCAATATAACCAACACACTTCACACAAGCAACACAATATTAACCCAACACTCACACAAGCAACACAAATATTAAACCATCAACTCACACAAGCAACACAGTATTACCAACACTCTCTACACAAGCAACACAAATATTAACCAACCCAACTCACCACACAAGCAACACACATATTACACCAACACCTCACACAGCAACACATATAAATTAATCCAACACTCACACAAGCAACACAATATTAACGCAACACTCACACAAGCACACACAATATTAACCAACACTCACACAAGCTACACAGTATGTAAACCAACACTCCACCCAAGCATCCACAATAATATCCAACACTCACACAAGCTACACAGTATTAACCAACAATCACGACAAGCAACACAATATTAACCAACACTCACACAACAACGATCAAAATAAACCAACACTCACACAAGCAACACAGTATTACCAACCACACACCAAGCAACACAGTATTAACCAACACTCACACAAGCAACACAGTATTAACCATACAACTCACACAAGCAACACAAATTAACCCAACACTCAACACAAGCAACACAATATTAACCAACACTCACCAATGCAACACAATATTAACCAACACTCACCACAAGCAACACAGTATTAACCAACACACTCCACAAACAATCCAACATTCTTCAGAGCGAAAAACTTTGGAGGAAGTTATGTAAAGCAGGAAACTGTGTTCTTCAGGTAATACCTGTATGGCCTCCGACACCTGGACAGCTTAATCTGTAAGTCTGACGCTGTAGAGTCTGACGCTGTAAAGTCTGACGGCTGTAATCTGACGCTGTAATCTGACGCCTGGTAAGCTGACGGTTGTGATCAGACAGTTAGGTTACCTTGACGCTGTAAGTCTGATAGTCGGTAGTAACCTTGACGCAGTACGTCTGACGTGTAACCTTGAACGCTGTAAGTCTGACGATGTAACCTTGACAGCTGTAAGTCTGACGTTGTTAAACTGGACGCTGTAAGTCCGACGGTTGTAACTCATAGACGCTGTATATACTGACGTTGTAACCATGACCTGTAAGTCTGACTCTGTTAATTCTTGACGATGTAAACTCTTGACGTCTGTAAGTCTGACTTTGTAACCTGACGCTGTAAGTCTGACGTTGAAACCTTGACGCTGTAAGTCCTGACGTTGAACATTGAGACGCCTGTACGTCTGACGTCGTAACCTATGACGCTGTAGTCTGACGCTGTAAGTCGACGTTTGTAACCATTGAGCTGTAAGTCTGCGTTGGCTAAACCTTGACGCCTGTATACGGTCTGACTTGTAACCTTGACGCTGTAAAGTCTTACCGATGTAAGTCTGACGTTGTAACCTTGACTTCTGTAAAAGTCTGAGCGTTGTGAACCTAACGCTGTAAGTCTTACTTTGCAACCTAGACGCTGAGTAAGATCTGACGTTGTAACCATAAACGCTGTAAGTCTGACGTATGTAACCTTGGACGCTGTAAGATCTGACGTAGTAATCCTTGATCGCTTGTAGTCTGACGTTGTAACCTTAAACACTGATAGTCTTACGTTGTAACCTAAAACGCTGTAAGTCTGACGTTGTAACCTTGTACGCTGTAAGTTCTGAACGTTGCAACCTTGACGCTGTAAGTCATGAGCAGTTGTAACCTTAACGCTGTAAGTCTGACGTTTAACATTAACGCTGTAATCTGACGTTGTAAACCTTGAACGCAGTAAAGTCTGACCGTTGTAACCTTAAACGCACTTAAGTCTGACGTTGTAACCTTAACTCTGTAAGGCTGACGTTGTAACCTTGACTCAGTAAGTCGTGACTTGTTGTAACCGTAACTCTTGTAAGACTGACGTTTAACCTTAAACGCTGCAAGACTTACGTAGTCCGTCGAGACTAAGTGAAAAGCGAAACATAATAAACAACATTCAGGATTCTATTCATGAGTTTCCACTTCGGAAACTGACAAATAATCATCATAAATAACTAAATAATAAATAATAAGAAAAATAATGAATAACAAATAATAATCCTAATAAAAATAATAATAATAAAAATAAGAATAATAATAATAATAATATAAATTTATTCTACTATCAAATCTATCATTATTATTAACATTATTTGAATATAATTATTACTTGCAATTGATTAATAATTTTTACTATTATTTATTAACTGCAAAAGGGAAAAAACACAATGTAAGCCTGTATTTAAGATTACTGGTATAAACAAACAGTATACATTTATTATATTACAAGTCAAGGGGGAAGCGCTAAACCCGGAGGATTAACAGCGCCTGGGGGGGATGTGGAAGGCATTCAGCTAATTTTGGAGGAACTGGAGCACAATTCCAATTCCCTATATTCAAGAGCCCCTCACCAACATCAGGAACCTTCCTTGAGGGGCAAACAGATAACAGCATTACAGGAAAAGTTATAAGGAAATTTCGAAGTCCCCGCGGGCTATCGACACCTGAGCCTACACGTCAGAGGGGAGTCCAATCTTCTAGAAATCGATCCTCAGCGGCGCCGGCGCATGCCCCCCCTGAGAGATTCCAACACTACCTCACACCACCTTCTCCTTTCACTTTATTCCTGCTGTGTAAAACAATCCTGGACAACATGTCGGGAGCCCAGGTGACGTGGAGATATACATTAACGGGGGATATTGACCTTCCTAGTGATTTGAAGGCTACGTTCTAAGTCAGGGTAAGGTATAATGGAGATGGTTTTATGAGCTCCGTCAATCCAGGTATGTCTCTTTGTTTTTGGAGTGTGAAAATGTATGCAGAAGGACGTGAGAGAGTTGTGACACGTCATATGCATTTTTTATTTTTTCCTATTATTTTTCTTTGTAATTTTATTTTATTGTTTACTTAGGGCAGCATGAATATGTGAAATATTTGTAGAAAGATGTGAGAGAGTTGACACATCATATGTATTTTCCCTCGAACTTGGTGCCCAAGTGGCCTAGTGGCTGAAGCTCTAGCGTCACACACGGAGGGCCCGGGTTCGATTCCCCGGCTGGGTGGAAGCATTTCGACGGGTTTTCTTACACCTGTTGTTATGTTCACCTAGTAGCAGATAGTACCTGGGTGTTAGTCAACTGGTGTGGGTCGCATCCTGGGGACAGATTGAGGACCCCAGTGGAAATAAGTTAGTCCTCGATGATGCACCGACTTTCTTGGGTTATCCTGGGTGGCTAATCTCCGGGGTTAAAAATCCGAAGAAAATCTCATCTTTTCTTGACCCTAGTGGGTTTAGTGCTTCTTTTTTATTATAATAATTTCCTGTTTCTCTCCTAGCATTATTGTATTGTTTGTTTATGCCAGCAATATGCAAAGATAAAGCTAATAGCTAGTGTAGAGGCTGGTTTCAACTTGGCCATTATTTTATTTTTTCATATGCAAGCTAACCATACTGTCAAAATATAGTTATAGCTTGTGCAAAGGACTATTATTGTGATATTAACGACAATGCATTTATATTGAATTAAATGCTGCATCAGGCCATCAGTGGTTCATTTGAGTCATGTATTGCGCCTGGCCACAAACTTAACAAAGAAGTAGCAGATGCAGGCAAACACACCATTTCTGAATCTACCACTACTTGTGTAAGGTTAATTTTTATTGGGTTGTTTTAGGTTAGGTGATAACGTCCTAGTTGACAGTGATTCCTGCAAAGTAAAAGGTTTATTTGTTGAACCATCCTTACATGTTTGTAAGAGATAGTAAGATCCATTTCTTCCTAGCTAACACTTCTGGTCACAGTGTTCGTCTCAGAGCTAATACCAACTTGTTTACCTTGTTCACATATCCTTTACCCTGTTCAGGTAGGATGATTGCCACCTGACCAGTGGG